ACGACTGGGAACAGTAACATTGGTATATAGCATACACATCTTTCAGCTTTGGGCGAGCAAGAAAATTCAACGTGAAGTTATTATATCAACTATACCTTGAAAAGCGCTCACTGACCGTAACACAGTACCATATTCATTAAAATTACATGATAATAATAATAACAACAAACAACAGTAGGACTGATGATCAGTTTGTGGGTTGAGAATATGCCAAAGACGAGCGTGATTATATTAAGGGCAGGGCATTATTCCTGCTTTACGCCGTTTCACCATTGCGTACTCGTACGTTACAATGGCACAAAGAGCTGGCGACTGGACGACACTGGGGTTCGTCGCAGGATCATTGCGTCCTTTGTTAGAAAGGCATCGTGAGACCTGCTTCAGAACTGAGTAATTGTTGCTGGCCTGCACCTTTCCGTATATTTGTGATGACGCTACGCAGACTTGCAGCAATACGATAAGCCGGGTAATAAACAACGCGGAACGATGAGGCTGAGCAGAGAGACGGTTCGCTAGACGGCAGATACAGTACTATGAATACACGAAAGCCATCCGCGCACTCTTCATGGTACTGAACCGGAAGCTCTCTTAGTCAGTTTACCGTAGCTCTGTTGCTAATCCGTAGATCAGGGCGTCGTTGTTTAGCTCTATTTACATACGTCAGCCTTAGCTGATGGAACGTCCCTACGATGTGTAGCGCAGATGTTCGAATGTTATGGAAATCAAATAAAACTACTTCCTAAAAAAGGAGACGTTTTGCGTGTGACGTTGTTTTCACTGTCCGGATAGGCCGTCAAAAAACCTTGAGGTCGAGGTGGCATTGGCCTTAAACGTCGATTCATGTTAGCCACAACAAAAATATTCTATTATTAATAAATGCCTGGAAATAAGCGAGCTATTATGTTTGTTCTCTTTGAACAGCATAGATATTGTTTTCACCTTTCCTTACCTGAGATGCGGTTAACCGATATTCTGTGAACGCTCCTTTAGCATGCGGTTTTCGTCTCGATATTGTCGCTATTTGGGCTTGCCAATGTATTCATTCTTTCTCAGGTCTTCTGGTAAGATACACAAGCGTACTCATCGATCTTACTACTTAGTATTTCTAATCGATCTAATACCCCCTTTGAATGGGTTCGTCTTCAGTGGGCTTTTTATGAGCCAGTCACGAATATGGCACAGTATTTCATCCGTCGAAGTATCAGCATAAAATAAAGAGTCAGCTCTGACGCCGACAAGTTTTGCAGACTGAATACGGACGGACTTGTTTTCTAGCGTAAAACAATACGGAGAAAATCTGCTAGTCAGATTACTATAGATCGTCTCCTATTGTATTGTATATGCAGACATATCGTTTACAGTATTTCATATATTTGTTCTATTTCTTTTGGCAAGCATCGTGCTGCCGCCGTGACGAGGAAAAAAAGGTGTCCACAGGCAAATTTTTATCTTAGACGATTATGTCAATAAATGCACTAAAGTCTGCTTGAACAAAATTGACGAAATATTGAATAACGTAATCGAATTAAGATTAAATAACTCTGGATGTAAAAACTTTTCTTTGGCTGGCACTTCTAGTTTTAGACCGTGTTTTCTTTGAAAAAAAAAAAAGTAAAAACTAACTTTTCCTCTACCCGTTTTATCATCAAACAATTTCTAGCATCCAAAAAGTACTCAAAAAAGATACTAGATTTCGAACTCACGACGAGCTTAGCCTTTGGTGAATGGCCTTAATAGACAGATGTGTCAACCCGATTGATTTTGGTTTACCACACTTTTTCTTTAGTTCAACAGCGTCCCCTCTAGTATAAACAGGAGACGAGTCCAATCATTTTTAGTGTTCACGATTGGATTTATAAGCTGATGATTACTTTTCGATGACTATGCCGATGCTACCTAAAAAACTTGTGCCCGCTCCTGTAAGACACGTTTGGATCATCATTTATTTATTGACTTATGTTGAACTTGGCTTTGGAAATGGCTCTCTCACGTATTATCGTGTTCAAAACGGCATACGATTACATTATTTGTATGAACAACAAGACAATATGTATTCGAGCCTAACAGCCTAACTATCAATTTATGAAACCACAAAATCTGAAAGGTATCACAATTTTACTTTTCAAAAATCTCTCATATATGGCCAGCAACTAAATCTTTACTGACTGTATCTAGTACAGCGTTATTTTGCACTGATAATTCATTTGAGCTCAAATGTCGTTTTTTTTTTCAAATAATACAGCATCAGCATCACTGGTTCAATATGTTTATTCTTTCGGCGTTTGATAGACGTTCTTCTTACTCACGGATCCATAGGTTCGTTTGTACCGACACCTTAGTTTTCCACTAGTTAATCTTGTTCAGATGAATCGTAGTCCTTACTTTTCGACGTAGGAACTTGTGTGACGCCGGCGTTACCCATAATATCATCGTCCTTGGCTCAGAAAGCAAAATCCACAGTCTTCCAAACTTCCAAATTAGCTAGCATATTTCGAATATGATTTTCCCTAGCGCTTATAAAAAACAACTGGTCAGTAGTACCTAATATGTATTGGTAGCCTACACTTGGTGTTATTTTAAAATCTTACCATTGTTCCTATTACTCATAGTGCAATGGTTCATGCATCTGTGGTGCTAATTCTTGTATTTTTCAAGCGTATCACAACCTTGAAAAAACAAAATGTTAGTCCTGCTGGCCCTTCCCTATCTAAGATCAAAAACTTGTAAATATTTGTCCACTACGCGAGAAAAAAACTCATGTTGGGTAATAAACAGCGAAGTCGCATTATAAAAGAGCGAATTACTTCAAATTATTGTATCCGTCCAATGTCTAATGGTCAGTTACGTGTACTTTGTTTTTTTGTACCAGAATAAAAACAAAAAAGTCCACCCAGAAGGCTTCATTATTGTTTCTATTTAGTCGAAATATTGCGCTTCCACCATTGATAAACAAAAGATACTCGAACTACCAGCACAGGGGACGGACTCATCATTTGCCAGCCGTGCATACTTATTTGACAATGTGATAGTACATAAATTATACCTTTATTGTGAGTTCTGACCACCGATAAAGTACGTTATTCTTCATTGAGCATCGTTCTTCTTTGTAAATCACATTTTGCGCTATGGCTATACAGGAGGCACCTTTAAAGCCGCCCTCATCTTTACGCCAGTCAATTGTGAACAGCAAACCCTCAAATAAGACCTTTGGTTATTTGCCGGTAAGACGTTCCGCTACGACGACAGTTTCAATGCTCGTCAAGAGCTTGAGAAGGCCTTTATTACGTGCTACATGGGTACAAACCGTAGATCAGTTAACCTCTATATATGCACTACCTTCGCAAGCCTAAACACATAATACATGTTTGTTTTGGAGCGTTCGTGCAGTTTTCTCGAGTTAAACAGGCCAAAAAAATAAGCAGAGTCTGGGCAGCTCTCACGTTGTGGCGAGGCACAACTTCGAAACGACTAGAGGAAACCACTGTGTTAAGCAAAATTAGCGCCTTAATTTTTACGTCCCTCTAAGTGCCGTTGCACCGCAGGGCTGTTTCCTGCATAGCATCGAAACTATCCAGTTGTTCTGCCCAATCAAACGTACGTCTTCTAAATGTGCGTTTTCTAAATTCGTAGATTCGTTATCGTTATCGAACTATAACGAGGATTTTTGACAGCATTACTATGTAGCTCAACACTAGCGTCATTCGGTGCCTGCTTCTGTCAAGAAAGAAAGCGGATTCCTTCGCAAATTGACACTGAACCACGCGATACGAAGTGTGAAGGATAAGTTCAGCTTTACAAAATTAACTGTCTTCTAGATTTCAACATAGATTTTATCAGTCGCACATTGTTTTATATCAAACACTGTTCCGTTAAAGAGCGCTGCCAGAAACATACGGACAGGCTTACGATTTCAGTATTTACGATATCGAATTAATCTTTTCACGTTCTACTTTGCAGAATGACATCTCTGTCTTGAGTCTGCAAGATTAACTTTGATTTGTCAAGTGGTAAAATTGCAGACAATTATCTGTGGGTAGAAAATCTAAAATGGAGTAAAAAATCAAACGCAAACGGACGCAAGTTCCGATCACTCATCCGAAAGAAACTTAACGACATTTTTATCGTTATTATGAACATACGTGAGACGGTCGACGCTGTAGCGGCTGCTTAGTCATCTAGAAAAACGCTATATTACCGCCTTAAGGTCATAGTGAAATAAATTCGTGCTGGTTAGTTAACAATGAGCGTATGAAACAAAAAAAATAGTTCAAATATTCATGAAGTTCATATATACATGAAGCTACGTTAAATGGGTCGGAATACGGATGCTACTACGTGAGGTTAGATTACGTTGACATGAATCGGCCAGTTACTTCTATCTAGACTGCTAATAGTGTGCTGGGCAGTTAAATAATAGAATTTTCATCTTAAGAGAGCAGAATGTACGGGTTTGTTGTTTGTTTCAACTGCACATACAGACATCACGCTCAGTAGTTTTATATATATATATATATATATATATGTGATTTCCTTTTAGAAGTTATGTATACGTTAACGGCGCGTCCAGCAGACTCTCGCAGGTCTGTAATTACCGAGGTGCTTATACTTTATCGCCGGAATGGAATACTATCTTGTTGAATATTAATATTTCAGTGTTACGGATTATCGCGTATCGTGTAGCGGTAAGCAACGTAGCATATCTACAAAAACTTTGGTTCATTTTTTTTTAAATAAAATATCCACTTAAGTACTAACTATGACTACTATGGCGAAACGTCAAAAAAAAAACATGGGAATAGCATAGTTTACATTGTTTTTGCTCACATTTAAGGTCCAATGACCTTCGAATGTGAAACTGCTTAGATACAATTCACGTTTACAGCTTAAGTAAGGAAATAGTATTATAAAAAACGATGCTGTATAGGACAGGTAGGAGTGACCGAAGAAGACACATTCTGCGTGTTTTCTAACGGAATATCTCAAATACATGAAAAGAAACATCGAGCACTAGCTCGGCCGTTTGTCACAACTCCTCGTTTCTTTAATCAAGTACTCGATACCCGCATTCAAATACATTTTAGACTGGCCTGTTTACTGTAAAAAAGAAACGACATTTAATAAATTCATATAATTAAATAAATGAATATAAATAATAAATTTTAAAAAAATAATATTTGGGATTGTAGAAACATCGTTCAATTTAAACCAGTTCGACTCAATTACATCTAAAATGGTGATTATCTGTTCAGGACTCCGCTATTCCACAACAATGTGATCCCTTCAAGGTGCCCTTTTGCGAATATCAGGAAGGACCTATGCGGCTCGAGGCATGGCCTGCTTTGTCATCATTCTCAGCAACATCTGTCGAATTGACAAAACACACGACGAACTTCCGACTCAGCCGTTCGGCTGGTGGTCATCAGGGAATAGGCGGTCATAATGGGTACCGTACCGATGACGACAAGCTCTATGACAGTAATCAGAAGAATGCCTTAATAACATTTGTTTCCGTAACGCTTTCCCTCTGCGCTACATCTGAAATTGAAATGGTTGTGTTTAAACAATTGCGATTCTACATTTTACCATTTTTTTTTTTTTTTTTAATCTATCAAATAATGAAATCCATTTAGTCATTTGTAACAACTTGGAAGAGGAAATATATAGGCTTATGCAAACATGTTACGAGTGGCGCGGTTATATTAGACAAGAGACCTGCAACAAACGGGGAAAATTCTCAATCAAACATTATATCACTTGTGTGTATTTTACAGTGGAGCAAGGTTAGCTACATGACTGGGGGATAAATTAATAGCGAATAGTGAATAGCGGAACCCCCATCAAGTAGGGTGCATGTATAGGGTGCGTAGACCACATCGATCTAATTTACCAAAAACCTACGTTGTCAAATACCTCATCAAGCACAATTACCTGTTGATGCATTCGTTTTCCGCGGTGTCAGGCTCCGAAAAGCCTATAATATCTTTATGTCGAGAACTATCTAAGGGCAACGATACATATTTGAGACCAAAAGACACCCCGAAAATTACCGATTGTAACAGAGTACGCCATCTTGAATGTGTGCGGTAGAAGTTTTAAGCTTCAATCGGAAGCTGGTCGTACTTCAGTTTAATTTTCATAGCCTGCGATACTTGAATCAGAAGCTATACCACGCGTACAGCGAGCTCTGAAGCGTGAGCAACAAACAACAAACGCCAAACATGTGCGTATAACTAAACTGTAGGTACAATCAATATTTATAGAGCATGATATCAATGCTTTTGACAAATAAATGGAATATAGCTAATCAAAATAAATAGATGAAACATACCTCGTAAGACATGGGGGCGGTCAGGTTAATCATGTTTCCAGTTAGGCCGAAGGTCGCAAGAAGCGTATAGGAATGACCGACAGCAGTGTTTCTGAAAAGCGGTTCTAACGTTGCCATTGTAGGTGGCAGTGAGATGGGCCCTGGCAAATCATTGGCAGCTGGAAACTATGGAGAGACGGCGAAAACTGAGGAGATCTGAAACAAACGGTTCAGATCTCCTCAGTTTCAAATATATACCATTAGTCGTAAGTCTATATTGAAAATAAAAATCTTCATTCAATGTTTTTATAAACCCGGCCTTATCGATAATGAAGGGAGATTATAAGGACATACCAGGATTTGTTGGATCAAGTATATCGCTGTTCCATGCAGGATTGATAAAAAGATCGTGCTCACTAGAAGCCGGCAAATGTAGAGCTAACCATAATATTTGTTCCACAAACGCAGAGATACAACTGGAATATATAGAACGTTGGACAATTAGAAGAAATACTTTAAGCCTAGTTGTGTATGTACGCTGTTATAAATTAAGGTTTTTTTGTTAGGCGCAGGTAAGTTGCATATATATTTCAACAGCCACATACCGGCTCTTCAGAAAAAAAGCTCTGTAATGCACATTTCGCTTAGGGAACATGTGCACATCGACAGATCATGGATGTAAACACATTAAATGTATGGGGTCCTGTGATAGGTGTTCTGTCCTATTTTATATGCGCTACACAACAGAAACTGAACGTACCATTAGTGAGATCTAACATTATAAGCATTATACCATATTACGATAAGATATACAGCCCTGAACATTTACGTATGCAACGAGGTAGCGGCGTGTCTACGCGCCGTAATTGACAGCAATTTCTTCTCGAAAACACAATTGTAGATAAATTAAACATCTTTGGATGCTTATGACGCTTCCTGTGTGTTAGACAGAACAGCCAACTAACATCTATTGCACTACATTATAACGGTATGAACATTAGCCGCGTGTTGGATCTCGCTCCTGTCATGTTTGTACGAATTTTATGAACTACAACGTAGCAGAAATGCAAAGTTAACCTAGTTACTTATTGCTGATCCTCTGTTAGTCACCTTCTCTAAAGTTACCTGTGACAGGAAGCGTTCATGGGGATAGTTGGCTTTTTGCGTATTGCGTAACCCAAGAGGTTCTCTCAAGTGGGCTGCAAACGGTGGGTACGCAAAAACAGAACATTTCTCGATTAGGAAAACGGCGAATCTATTGATGAGAGATGCCTTCGACTATGTGGCGTTATGGTAAACGCGTCAACATTGACCCTTTTTTATGTTTATGCCAAATATGCGATTGCGACACATTTGTTCATAGCACGTCAGTTGTGGGAAGACGTTATGTGGACTTAGATTCATTGATGGTAGTTTAAACATGAAGCACAATTTATTTTTGGTAGATATATAATCACTCATCATCGTCTTATCTTGGATAAGGCGCAGAGCATCACTATATAGTAGCAAACTTTAGTACTTATATGTATGCAATGTATCAGATGAAACTGAAGTCTTCGTTTCTATTGGCGCACTACTTTTATGAGATTTCAGAGGATATTCGCGAGGGATGCTGCAACTTTTGTTACCGTCACAACTTCGAATAGCGGCATAGATTTTATGCTTGCCAAACTTCATCTTAGTTCTATTTTAGAAGTCGTCGAAATTACTACCTCAGTAAAAAAAAAATAACGGCCCCATCAGTTCGAAATTAGCGTCAGACTAGAACTATTATCATTCAGCTGCTTGTTACTATTCTCTAATGCTAATTTTTAGATCCTCCGCGATGGACCCATTTCGGTCGGAAAGTTTGTCCTATCTAGACGCAAAGCGAGTTCCCTTTCAAATGACCTCGGAACGGTCGATTGTGAAAAGAGTAACAAATGAGTTCTATCAATTCATGAAGACTTGTGGTTTAAAGGGCTCTATTTGTTCACTATGATGCTGTTCATTTGATTTATGTATACAACGTGTTTAACCAAGAAAGGGTAGCTAACTGCACTGAAATTTCATTGATAACCACTATATGAGAGCTGGTCCTGCTTAATTTTGGAATGGTTTGGTGTGAGAAGGTCAGGGCTTTCGATCAACATGCAAACCTCTCGTCATGTTAAAGCCTAAAGAGTGTTATGGCTGTGAAATTGACAATAGCGGAATAGTGGAATTAAAAAAGCTTTTTTCAACGTAATATGTACATGTATAAAAAAGGTATAAATAGGATGCACTATTTTAAAAGGACCAATAGAGATATCACTAATGAATGATTTGTTCAATAGAGCCGATCTTTGGGTGTCTAGAGCTTAACGACAAACTTGAACATAGTATAGGAAATACATCTTGTCATAATTTTAGAAGTAGCATGGCAGTACCAGCGACTATAATCATATGCCCAGAGTATTTCTATTCCAAATAACTGTCAACAAGACAACTATAATTTGACCCGATGTAAACATTTCGTTAACATATTCCTCAGTACGATTCGACGGCCTTGTTTTTACTGTCAGTGAAGCACGGAAACTGCCGCAGATAGTTTTTGAAAAAAGAAATATCATAACAAAGTGTTTATGTTTACAGCAGATTATGGCATTCCCCAACCCCTAGTCGGGCACAAGCCAAACAAAGTCCTATTTTATAAAGGGTTGCTATTTTAGCACAATGGTAAACTGTATATCTTGACGACGAACGCTAACACCGTTGTACGCTAACACAAAACGTATGTACACCATTACGTAGCAACTATTCTTGGTTGATTCCTACACACGCAACTTGTCTATGCGTACAATATCCGAATTTCGGGCCACTGGTTAGTGGTCTATCTGCGATCAGTTCTTTTAAAAATACCTAAATTATTTAGGTGGAGCTGTCGTCGGTCCATAGAGGCAAATTCTATATTGTTTAGAATATTCTGATTTCGACTTGCTTCTGTCAGAATATCACTTGATGGAAGTGGGGTTTGCCTCCTCCTCCTCCTCCTCCTCCTCTTCTTCTTCTTCTTCTTCTTCTTCTTCCTCCTCCTCTTCCTCTTCCTCCTCCTCCTCGTTTTGGGTTGAATGACCGGTTACTAAAGGAAATACATTTCAGACTTACATTAGCCTAATATGAAATTCAGAGGAAAGTCTATGTCCAGTTTTCATAGAGAAAATCTCGTGCTGCCCATAATGCTGTTTATGACAGTTATAGAACGCACGCTCGTACATCGGCTGCTATATTTATGAATCAAAAGAAAACTCACCAGTTTGCGTTAGTTAAACAGGTAAATATTACGTTGAAATCAGCCATTCACATACGGTAAATAACATGTAGCAGCCGAAACCGCTTTTGCTAGGCCTCCATTGAATTAACCCTCTATAAACAGCACAGTATGGTAATAGTAACAATAATAAGAATCATATTAATAATAAAAGTAACGACGTGATCCTTGAATCTAATAATGTAGTTTGTGTTATACGCGCTAATAAAGAAAACGAAATTGTGTTTCGCATAGAAAAAGTGATAAACTGTTCTGCAGAAAACATTACAATATCTATTCTATATGTGCGGTGAGAATGATTGTTAGACATTGTTGCTTGTTGTAAATATTGAACGTGGTTAGTTTATAAGCTTTGTTTTTACTTAAAACAAAAATTAAAACACTCGGTATCAAAGGGAAGAAACGAACAAAATCTTAGCGAAGCTTACGAACGCATATTTACAAATCTAAATTATGATCTGGCTGAACTATAAAAGTATGCTTTGTATTATCGTAATGTGGACGCTGTATAGCGGTTGAAAATTGGCGCGCGAAACTTACGTCCACGGAGAGCGCTAGTTGCTCGTACGGAACTACATGATTGGTCATTTGACGTTGTTGTTGGTGGCGCTTCTGTAACCGCTGGTGTTCGTATGTTCATTGGTGTTCAGGTCCGGCCTTGGAAATCGTACGTCCACCGCCTATCCTATTGATCGTACTATCGAACGCGTAACCCTATCAACCTTTAGCTATATCGAGATATTCGTATAGACGGATAGGACAAGCCACGAACACCCTTAATATTCATATCGGCAGAAGAAAGTGGATAAAAACATTGGCGCGTCGGCAGCGTCCGCGACGCTCATTATCGTTCCACAACCGAACGGCTACAGAAGCTATGCAATCGAGTAACGCCTTCCATTACTATGATCATTACCCATAAAATTAACACATGCAACTGCAGTAGCGACAACGACAAAAAAGAAACATTATCGTAGATTTTTACTAATAACTTAGGTGATTTAGCCGACTGACCAATCCCAGCCGCTAAATAATAGAACCGACCGATTAAAAGAGTTAGAATAGAAATGCGCGGACCGAATAAACTAAGATTAAGCATTATATTATAGCGTAATTACGATCGTACGATTGAGACTGTGACCGGGTTTCGGGGGCAGCATTCAGTGTTCATGGCGAAGACTCAATGATCCGGTCCAAGAGATTAGTGCGTTGAATAAAACTAGTTCGGAGTATTAGAATTTCTTACCAATAAGCGCTAGACATAACAATCATATACCTTTGCGTCTACCAATATTTTTCATAAGTCGCATCGATGTTAGCCTTAACGTATTAGATTAATAAAACGATGTTTATCATCAACCTTTATCGAAGCTATCGACTATTAATATTTGTGTATGTGTGTGACTGTTTGTATGAAGTTTAGAACTTCAACGAAAGTCCTGCAATAAATTTGATTAGAGACGCTATGAACGGTATTAGCGATTACGAGAAATACATGTTGATATTTGTAGTTTCCTAAAGTATTCAAAGTAGCAACTTCTCGCAGTATGAAACAATCCTGGGATCCTGTTTCAGTTTGCTCTAGCTAAGAATTACAAGGGGCAGATTATTATAACACGAACTGCTTAATTGCGCGGAACGGCAACAATATCAACTCTTTGTCTGGTTCGCTCCGAGTGGACTTCAGAGAAATATTACTGTTGCCGCCGACACCGATATTGCCCCTGTCTGAAGGACTATTTGAGCGTTCCGCCCCAATGTGCACAGACCTCGTCGGCTGTAATTCATATATTTCTGTCCAGCCCGACAAACCAGGTCACCGTTTCATACGGCAAAAACGCCTTCTTTCGGTGTTTTCGACTCTGATTCAATTCACTGTGGCAATTCGCAAAGTTCAACCCCGGAACAGAATTACGGCTTCTATGCTACGTTTCGTGCGGTCCGTGACCGTTATCTAGTCAGCGAAGCCACACCCACTAAGCAAAAGTTATTCGAGAGCTTTTACCAGAATGGCTGTTAGTAACTTGATAGTTAGACACACTGTTTAATTGGGCTTGTAAGTTTTGTTTGAGCTGTCTAGCAGATCGAGTATGGGACGCTAGTGTCGTAGTCAGGGTAAAAATGATAAAAGGATAATCATGATTATTGAAGAAGAAGAAGCACTATCGGGATATACATCTATGTCCCCGAAGAATTCACAGTATTAGCACTTTTTTTTTAACGGATCGTTTCACTATTGACTGGGACACAGGTGACGTAATATTCGCAGGAATCGTGACTGGCAAGTTGACAACTGTTTCTGTCTCGAACGACAAACTGGGCTAATTAATCATATTGGGTTGACAAGATTGTACTAAGGTTACATTGTAAAATTCCATTGATCTTTGCGATCCCCTTTCGCTTCAAATGTCTCTCAGATAAATATCTTGCCGAGGGTCGAAATGAATAAACCTGTAAAGGCATGTCGTCGAAAAGAAGATGTAGATCCGAGTAATATGAGCGAAAAAAATCATGATCCAATTACGTGCCACGCCGTGTACGTGCTTATCATGTAAGTTTGCCAAAGGAGAGCAAACCCTTTCCGTAATTAGAGCCGTATAGGTATTTACAACTATGGTAAATAATCAATTTATTGTATATTCTATGGTGGGAATTCTCAGCGATATCAAAACGAGCATCTAAGACTAGATAACCTTGTAAGTATTAGAGCCTCATCAATCTGGCCTATATATGATGAATGAATGATCGTTGCACGCTTGCGCAAGCGCGGGTTGACAATCTGTAACACGCTTCCTATTGACCAGAGTGAATCACGACTATTTCTAATTTTACAAGAAATTCTAGTCTTCGTCTAGTTATAGGCAGTTTGTGTGATCCTATACCAATAGACTAGAACAGCTAACAGCTTGTTAGGACTTAAATCGCCAAGAAATAACACTATCCGAGGTAAAAATTAATTTTTGTTCTATATTTAAACTTCGTATATTTCTGTTACGCAGGAGAACAGTCATTGTCGTCCAAATAATCAATTTCGCGGTTCCCGTTAATTTGCTTTGTAGAAACCTCTAGTGGTATTATTGAACCTCAATATGTATACAGGCCTTTCTCATATGAGATAGTACAAGTCTTCAATGGTAGACTTTATTGTTGCCATCGTCAACGATCGTACCGGCTGAGCGGCGATATGTACAGCTGCTACCCCAGGCCCACCGTGAGCCTCCTCTCCAATAGTAGACGGCAACCCCGCTGGGCTGTGGACCCCTGGGTGCTTGGCGCGCCACTCGCAAAAAAAGGAGCGAGCGGTTATTCTCTAACCACTTACCATTCCCTGTTCGCAGATGCCCCTGAAGTTCTCACAGTTTGTGACGTCGAACTAGTGTGGAACGGTCTCCTTTAATTCAAATGTTTTACAACGCATTACGCTATTCTATGGGAGCTTACGTAGATAGTCAAAGTGTGTCTACCTAATTAAACAAGTGTCTTTGTTCGACTCGGGTAAGTTAGTTTCCAGTTGAACGTGATGAACGAACTGTGTTATAAAGTGTAACCGAAACAAGGGATAACATCAACAGCCAATTTTTCCATGAAACTTAACGTGGGGGTCGACGACAGCGACCGAAGCTTGAGACAAAGCTCGTTCAATGGCGAAAGTGCCTTATTTATCTCACTGCTATATTCAATGAAACATTTCTAATTAACACGTTTCGCTGTAGATTAAACAGTCATCATATTTGGATACACAAATGATAGTCTATGTGGAACTTTTTTTCATCCTCTTCCCATTGCCAGCACTACAATCGTTATGACTTTTAGCTCTAGCGCCTACTTAAAAATGCGGTTTCATTGAGTTGAAATCCTTCCTAATTAACTAAAAGGATTATTCGTAGGTGCATAAAGACTCAGGTACGAACCTATATATCTATATAGAAAAGGATGTCATGATACTAGCTACTGCCATGATTTACTCCGTTTTGTGAAGTATATAGTAACCTCAGATACCATGTTTCTATTTTTACTGAATCGTAACTGTAAAGTCAGATCAGACTTTCGCAGAGCGTGTGCTAGGGCAAAAGATATTTTCGATGGCTATAACATTTGAGGCGTTCTCCATTACGTATGAGCCCATTCAACTTTCCACCACTGGATTCTATGGTTTTTATGGATACCAATTGAGCAAAAGTACCATACCTATACATTCATAATTAGCTTTACCTACGAAATGAGCAAACAGAAATAGTTTAAATCAGCCGGCTTCGAGGTAGCTTGGGCATCGAGGTGATTACTATCCTAGAAAAGGTAAATTTGAAATTCCTCACAGAGATAACCAGGGATTTCACTAACCAAAATAAGGTAATCTATTAGGTTATTAAGGCCTGATGAATATAATTACTGTTCGTAAACAATGTAATTTCGCTGTTCCCTCTTAGATAGCTTATAATTATAATAATAATTCGTTTGATTATTTTATCATTGGTCCGCATCCATGAATCATGAGCTTTCGAACCATACGACAAATGCTACTATCACCTTTTTCGTTTCCGTACAAAATCTGATACAAAAAAAGGGAAGACGGGGGACAACGTCCTCACCGAGAGCCCATACAGGATACTCCTCGTCCTATCCTCATAATTTATTCAAACGTGCAATTAGCCAACTGAAAGCTTTTCAAACCAAGCAATGACCACGAGTTGTAGTGACCGATCACTATAAACCTTCTATTTAGAAGCTATTTTTGGAAAAAAAAAACTACTTATTCCTTAATGAGTTCGTTGAAAGTCAAAAACGCAATCAACTCTAGGGAACATTTACGAGGTAGAAGGATCGCTTTGTACTTGAACTATTATTAATTAGTTTTTTAAAAACTACTCTGATTTGCTAAAATAGACAATAAAATGAATTGAGACGACGAATGCAAGCCTTCTATTGGAGGCATCGGCATTAGAAAACTCTAACTCCTTTAAAGGTATCGATATAACATGGAGATTGCGTAGACCATTCAGAAAGGAATTTTTTCTTGAGACTGTTTACAAGTTGAAAATCATCAGCTAGAATCTGGTCATTTCCTTATTTACCAATACGATGCTACTGGGATCTACTATAGTAATAATAATAAGAAATACTAGCAAATGGGCTAGGTCACCCTTTTTCAAAGAATAAAGGCAGCGTGTCAACGTGAACGTTCGGACATAGCACAGATGAAGTTCCTACCTTGAAAAACAATTTTATCCGGAACCAAATGCACTCATTGCAATAGTTATGCACGCCACCCGCGTCTGGGTAACTCAGATAGTAGATGAAAATTATTACTAGCATGATTCTTTTGAAGTATACTGTAGGTCACGTACTATATGGTTTATTGTCTTAAGCTTCAACCAAGATTACGGTCATCCCTCAAGAGAAGATAAGATAAGAGAGTGACTCATTTGCGTACCGCATAAACCCAGCTAACCGATGTAGGAAATATCTGTTTGTTGGCCATACACGCAAGAATATGATAGATCGTCCTTTTATCTTGATCCCCCCCCCTTCCCCCACATCTTAAAATGTCAGATTATTATTAAATGTTAGAAAATTAAGAACGGCACCAGTGAAATTTCCTAGAAATCACCCATATTTTTGCATAGTTGATCACAGAAATTATATGTTAGTACTCGCATATAGCAGTTCCATAACCCAATCTCCAGATCCTAATACTCGTTACTATCGCTTCTGTTTATCAGTGGGGTATGGAACGCACGGATTTTTCTGTTCTCTGTATACAATTCTGGTAAGCGCAATTATCCAGACCCATGAAATTATAATCCTATTCCTGCATGCATCTGTATATATCCATATAGCACACGACCCTAGACACTCGTAGACTGGCAAAAGGATTAATATAGACCCCTGAAATCCTTCAGCGCTTGAAGTTCGAAAGGATAAACGCATCAATAAGGAAAATGACTTCATACAGTTAGGTCGTACTTAGGGTACTTGTTTCTGACTTTGGCTTTGGCTATCATCACTCGTACTTGCGGAGCATACTTGATACCGCGTATAGGGTCTAGAGCGGACGATAACCATTTTCAAATCTGACGTTCATATACTTGAAATTAGCCAACTTTCGATAGAGTCGAATGCAAACTTCCTAGCTAACGAAGATAATGCTTTCGGAAGCTAAAAGATTATATAAAAGGTAGTGATTCATGAAAGTATTTGGAGCGAACATTTTTTTTTTAGTGAAATGAAAAGATGATGATCACAAAAGAAAATCGTACCCAATATGGCCCTATCTGTGGCCATATTTCAACGTCCGCGTACAAACGCGGTTTTATATTCGCTACTGATCAAGTACCTCGTAATGCCGTTTGAACCAAGTATAACTAATCTGAGAGGAATAACGCATTGTTGATATAAGGTACATAGACTCTATCATATCTAAAAGAGATACGTGTTCATTATGACACTACATTATACCCAAAGGACTTTCTACACAAACGACATAGAATATAGCCTAACTAGTCATTGGTAAATAACGAGTCTAGCTAGCAGATGATTTGTCGTGAGGTCATCGAGGCATACGAGGAAGCTTGTTATTAATGGTCAATTTGTTAATTGTCGGCCTTTTGGGGGGGGGGGGGAGGCAGTTGGTGGAATTCCTGTCAGGAGAAGGTATCGCCATACAGCCTAATTCCATACGGTTGCAACTAGAATCCAGTAACGGCAGGAGATAATCAGTAGTGCTCAATGCTTCTGCTATGAAAACCATCATCAAAAATTTGGTGCGTCTATTATCGTGCTTTATAAACACTTCATATTTTTCTTAAACAATGTTCTGTTATTAACCAGTACACGAAAGATATTGCATAGATATGTCAGACAATAGAATTCTGAAAAACCCGATCGAGAGCCATTTTGCCTGAAATTAGTAATTGTCTTTCTTGTTACAAAACCCACTATAGGTTTCCACCGACGTTAAAGGTATAAACGGTATAATGTTTATACAGTTATTTAGCGCATAGTCTGTAATAATCTCCCATTTAGTGTGCCTTGATGTTGCGATCTTGTTCTGAACGACAAAAGCAAACTTCGAATCTGGAATTAAACCTTGTCCAGAGAGGCTTGCCGACACGCGTTACTGATTAGAATTTGCAGAATTTTAGTGGTAGTTCCAGCGGGTCACGTCCAATCTACATCTATATAATAATACAATAATCGGTGAACCATCTACAGATGGCTGTAATATATGCGTCATGTTATAACGTTATGTGCTGCATAGTAGATGCGAAAGAGCGTTTCCCGGGTGCTTGAATCTGTAAAACCAGACCAATAAATATTAGAAAAGATAGTATTGCTCCGGTTAACCGAAATGTACAACTACACAGTAAACGACATAAAGTAATCGATCGGCGTGGGGTTACGATACGGCGGCAGGCCGTATTAGAACGAGATAGTACGGCATCGACGGCAATCCGCTATTCAACGGCCGAGGGCATATCTTACTCATTAGCGTGTCGCTGGTACTGACGTTGTTGTTATTGTTTATTTCTAGTATCTTGAAGGAATCATTGGCACCTTAGCTTGTACGGTCGCACAGACGTATACCTAAATCGTTTCAAGCAAATCCGTTAGGACAGGGAAAATCGTTGACATTTATCACAGTATTTCTACAGGGATCTTCTTTTTTTCTTTGGTAGTAAGAGCTTTTTGCTTTCGTGTCATAAAAAGAAAACAAGTGCTAGCAACGTTACTTGATAGAAAAAAAAAAAAAAAAAAAAGGAAAAATTTGTTATCATTTTCTGTTCTCTAACTATTAGCCACTATTGACGCTTTGATTTTAGAGAATTTTTGTGAGTCGAAAGCAATACTTACGGCAGGGAACAGCTTTACGAGCTACATAGTCTATTGAAGCTCTATTTGATATCACAGCATACGTCGATCACTCGTGCGACATCAAACGTGTTTAGCGCATACTGATTGTTTGGGGATACTGCGCAACACTTAACACAAAACAAATATATACAGTTCAGACATGCTTTTAAACACGTAGATTGGCTTGAAGCGCGCTATTTTTATGTATATATCAATTCCCTTTATTGCTATCATGCAATACCAGTCAAATGATATTGTCTGGAAATTAGGCCATCGTTGATCTGGCCAGTACCGTTGCTGCAGCTGCTGGTGCGCTAACCCTGGCCGGTTGGGCCGAAGCGTCCTATGTATGAAGCTGAATGGTTGTACTGATTTGCTAGCTATGAAGATTGCAATGACTAATGTACGATAGTATACTACAAAGTAGTCATGTTGCTGATTTGACCACTTTTACCATAGTCGATGGCGATGTCATAGACATCGATGCGCCAATCAGGATTATTGTTCGCAGCACTAACACTAGCGTGCCCCGAAGGGCATGTGCATAGACCCACAATTTCAACCAGCGGTCGTTGCTGCTGTTGACGCTGGGTCAACGCTAGACGGTCAGAAAGCGCGCAGCGCTTACGGACGATCTTCTGCACGCGTGCCACTAATGCTACGACCACCCTGCGACTACCGAACTATCGGCGCCCAGCCAATGAGCTTTTATATAGATATATAAATAATACAAGATTCTAAGCAACAAAGTAGGTATATATATTCCAAATATGTATGGCGGCTATCATGTACGATAATGCGCGCTTTCGTTGTAGTATTGATAGTTCACAAATATCCATTCTTTCTATGTAGCTACCAGATATTCAGTCGACGCAGGCTAGAAGGCAATAAGCTAGCGTCAGCCAGATAGTCGGGGGCTGTCTCTGTTTCCCGACCCCTCTACAACAACAATATTTAGACGGCCCGTGTACAGTCGCCGACGGAGGCTCGGACAAAATCATCACCCTTTTCGCCTTTCACTTGATTGCAGATGGCAAAATAACATAAAAATGGCGTGCGCGAAATTGCGTGTGTATTAACGATTGCGTCGCACCCTATATATACATACATATTGTAGCAATGAAAGCAATCCTTGATTAAGTTCTATGATCCGACAGAAACATCGTGCACGTTTGACAGCTTGCTAAGACTGCGTAACATTAGACAAAATATATAAACAAAATCAATCCAGGATTACTAAATGATCAAGAAAATGATTTAATTAAATCGCTAATATGAGGGCGTAATATATATATATATAATAAAATCAGACATGGAAATAATAACAAGCAAAGTAATGCGATAGTATTAGATGCGAACTACTAGGATCAGTAAAGGTTAGATTAGCGCTTAACCAAAACGTAAATGGTGATCTGATCTTTGCAAAACAAGCCCGTTCGCTAGCAGCACCCGTTCCCTGCTAATGTTAAATTACCAGCCGTCTCACCTTTAAAGTATCTAAAAGCATCTTTTCTATTGCAGGGGGAAGCAGGCAAAGCTCGATTACATGACGCGATTTATATGGTCTTGATAGATCTAATATTTTTTCCTAAATTTCACTCATTTTCTCTGATATACTGTTAGGTCTGAGTTTCGACTGAACAACGCAGCAGTTAACGAGCTTTCGTTATATATTACTCTTGTATCTACAATAACCACACGTTTACTTTGTCAGCGTCTTGTTCTCTAGCTGGAATTGTGGTAGAACAGACATTTTATGGCTACAAATTCAAATTGAAGGCATGAAAGGCTTAAGTAAATAGATGGATTTGTGCTAAAAAAAAAAAAAGGTGGGAAAAGTGTTTAGGGAAGTACGCATTGTTCTACTAGAGGTGACCAGATGGTCTGTACAACTCATAGAAACGTTCAATCGTAGATTCAGAACAAGTACCCTGCGAAATAAATGCTCTTTTTCGTTTTTCTTTTGTTTTCCTGGAGGCGAGACCGATAAAGCTTTTCAGACGGGTATGCTAACGTTTGTTTGGCTCGATTAAACAACACACATTTTTATATCAGATACCCGCGTATTAAAGTATTCTTATAAAGAAAATCCCATTTTGTTATTAATTATTGAGTTCAAATAGAATACATCATTGTACTGCATGTAGAGCTGTTGATGCTTCATTTAGTGGTTTAATCATATCCGGCGTCTACCGTACGATAGAACAATACGTTAGCGTAGCGATCGTGCAGCGACAATATAGGACACGTTTCGTGTTGAATGGCCTTTCAGATGAAAAAATTAACAGCTTTGTGCCTTTGCGACAGGCGGAAAAATTCTATCTCTTTGAAATCAGCCGACAAAAACCTAAGGAATATTGAGCAGCTCAGAAAAGCCACAAACGGAAAATGGATTTCGCCGCGAGTAAACACTCGGACATAGCGGCATTTTTTGCCAACAAAACGCTGTTGATTACTGGTGGAACCGGCTTTATAGGAAAGGTGAGCTTCGTGGCGTATGTTATATATATATTGATATATATATTGATATATATATTCAATATATATATATTGAGAAAGAATGTCTAGTAAGAATTGTAAGTCGCATTTATTTCAGTTTTTATCAGGCCTTTGATAGGTTGTATAATTTACTCACTGGATAGAGTTGTATTGAAATATCGTAACCTGCGTGAAGAGTCTCCCTTCATCCCTTTTCGGATTATACACACAGTATTTGCCCTACACCCTATAATAGTAAGGTGATTTAAAGAGAAAAATAGTGGCTTTTTCAGCATATATAGATTTTTCTTCTAAATTTATCCTGTCTCCTCGGTGCTGTGTGTGCATTTGTGTTTGGGGGTCTTGGAAAAGTATACTCTTTCAAACAGATTTTAATCCTTTCGTTTGCTAAATGTAATACATGACAGTAATAAAGATTAATTGGAACTGAAGTTCAGACCGTTTCAGTAAATTCCTACAACGACAAACCGTTGTCCTCATATTGCGCTTTGTTCATAAAGACCGACGTCCATAATCGAACACTGATGATGTGGTGGACCTTAATGTACGTATGCACCCACTTTGATCAACACCTAAAGATCTAAACTGCTTTAACCTATCCATCTAGCTTTTGGTAGAGAAGCTGCTCCGCGCATGTCCGGATATCAGAAAGATCTACCTCGTCATACGACCTAAGAAAGGCGTCAGCCCTCAAAAGCGACTCGCAACTCTACTTGCAGGCAAGGCAGGTTTTTACACGTGAACTTCCTGTGCATCTGTTGAGACTAAACGATGTTTACATGTTCCATGTCTAAGGCTATTTTTGCCTGTTATCTGTGCCTTATCTACATCCATTCACGAATAGTAAGCTTTATGTCAGCGGTCAGCAGCAGTACCCCACAAAGAGTTTCCCTGATCCGCGCGTTTCACTATATGTCGTAATATATGCTGCTACATTCAATTATTACTCATAATAATTGAATGTCCATTATAATTATTCTATTCATATGATAACGATTTTGTTGCAATAGGCTCAGCCTGAGAGAATAACGTTTTAACGAAATGCGCTTGAGCAGAACAAAGAACAGAAACAATCCTATTTGATGCCCTTTTGATAGGTATTTGAAGGGGTGATAAATCGTCGGCCTGAAGCCTTGAACCAAGTGGAGGCACTCGTCGGAGAAACGTCTGAGCCACTTCTCGGTTTATCTGAAGCTGACCTTGCCAGGTAAACCAAATCTCAAGCATACGTTGTAGACTAGGGGCTTCTAGCGTCTATTAGATTCTACTCGATATCCATCTCATAATGTACTACTATGTTTCGGTATTGAGATCGGTATTGATAAACATTTTTCTTAGATTTATTAAATTTTTTATTTATTAAATTTGGGTTCATGTAAATTTAAAGTTTTGGGCACGTCCCCACAAATCAAACTGCATTAACTTTGCATGATCCAGTCTACTTAGCCATTTTTTTCGGGCAAGCGGCTTATAAACATGAATCGCATATAGAATATTTCGTAGTCGGTCAACAGCATCAGTATGCTTATTGCCCTTAACAGCATGTGGTACCCTTGTCCAAATTCCTAAATACTAGAGAGGAAAAATGTCGTTCACTCCGTCACTTAGGGATGTCTGTGCGTTGGGTGCAGGTGAGCGAACGTCACCAACTTTAGCTTGAAAGAGAATAAGCTTTGAAAGAAATATATATTATCCTAAGAAGCGTAAGCATTTTACGCTATAGAAAAAAAAAAGTACAATTGGGTTAAAACTTTACTGCCTGCTAACTTTAAAAAATTTCTATATAGCAAGTTCTAGCATTTTTCCCTCCAGAAGAAACGCACGCGCAAATATTCTCCCAAAACTCCCTGATAGAAACTCAGATATAGAAGTCTTCGTATTGAGAAGCCCCCGCATATATTTTGTGATGCACATCTGGCTAAAATCGTTCCTTCGACAATTTAGATTTCTCGGAAATAGTCATAATGTTAGTGAAACTTAATCGTTAGTATCAACTTTCTTTAGTAACTTTTTCGTGTAATTGACTATATTCTAGTCTAACTATTTGACTTTTATAGAATCAAGTTGGAGGTTGAAATTGTGATTCATTCTGCTGCAACCGTAAAATTCAACGAGCCTTTATCGGTGGCGACGCGAGTTAATATCGGCAGCACCATACAGATGGTCGCTCTTTGTCGTCAGATGCCGAAACTCTGTTGTCTCTTACATGTATCGACTGCTTATGTCAATGTCACCGAACCATCAGACGTTATCGTCGAAGAGCGGGTCTATCAGTAAGGATTCTTCTGGCTTTTCGTATCATGCCTTGATAGATTTCTAAAGATTATATATATATATATATATATATATAATCTTTGGTAGTGCGTCATTCATGACATTGTAGCATCCTCTTATGCATCTAGAGATCTGCTGAAACGGTAAATGTTTCATTTTTTGGAACTATTAGATCATTTAAAAGGCAATGATAATTCTATGCAGACGTAACTTACAACATATATATCAGCATCAACCATGGCCAGAGTATTCATTATCCAACTATTACGTTTGGATTGAAGATGCACACAGCTAATACTTTGATCAACGGTATCGTTTTCTAGCTCGAAGTTGTCCGGCGAAGATTTACTAGAGTTAATCGAACGTCTGCCTCCGGACGCACTGGAGGCAGCGACGCCGAAGCTTATGCTCGGGTTTCCCAACACTTATACAATAACAAAGAAACTAGCAGAACAGGTGGTTGAAAATTCAGGCTTACCTGCTATTATTGTGCGTCCCTCAGTCGTGATCGCCACAAACAAGGAACCATTTCCGGTAAGTACCACCTTAAAATCTTCACCATTACCAGAAACACCATGCCTGCAAAAATATGGAACGATGAAACTGAACCGTAGATACTAATGAAGTGTATTGACTTCGTCCAAAAATGTTCCACGTAAACTATATGGTCTATTAATGTTTTTTTCAGGCTTGGATTGATAATATGAACGGTCCGACTGGTTTCTTATTGGCTCTAGGCACCGGTGTCTTGTCCGTCGTCCGAACAAAGCTTTCTCTCAAACCAGATATCGTTCCTGCAGATTTTGTCGTAAACTGTATCATTGCCGCAGTATACCGGTACGGCCAATTGGAAGGAAAAGCAAACCCGTCGAATATTTTTTTTATCAATATATTATTAATTATCGTACTTAATATCCGATCAGAACGTTTGCTATGTACGGCATCCCAGGTTTGACCTAAAGGGTTCTCCCATTTCCGCATAAAGTGAAAGTCCCAGACAATCAGAACCTTAATGGCTATAAAGATAACAGCGGAAAGCGAATAAACTATAAATACTAGTCACCTACAAGGCTATATCAACAGCATATCGGCCTAAACTAATACAATTGTTCTGAAAAAAAAAAGACGCGCATGCCTGATTTGCTCAGTGATCGTATGTAAGCAGAGATATCATTCGTGCACGTACTGATAACGTAGCTTGTACATTGGTTCTAGAGAATTTGGACATATTCTACAACGACATTTAGCGTTAAATTTTCGGCTACGAGGAACTGGAGTAACTGACACGCAACCAGGACAGATGGCTCTGTAGGTTGAAATGATTTAAAAACTTCGACCCATATATCACGTATATATATACGACGGGTTGCTGACGCTAAACACTTTTGATCCTGAGCGCACATAGCTCAGAGAGCTAAAACCATTATAAAATGACCCATTCTGTGGTCCATATATATGTATATAGATTAGTAAACGCTTTCTATATACATATATATATATATATATATATATATATATGGACATTGACTCTGGCCCATTCAAAGCAGCGAAGAAACGCTTCTATTTAGTTCGCGGCAGCGAATTTTCCTATGACGCTGCTGGTCTGGCGGCAACAATGCCTCATATGATTATAATTTTTTTTGTGCCGTTATCGTTTCGATGTCGTGTGCTTTTACAGAGGTACTTCTGTCTATATTTTGATGGCTGTTAACGTGCCGTTGTTGTAGCCATCTCATCGCAGGTTTTTGCCGAATGTTCATATTATTACGGCCGAAGGAAGAATGAGACATTGCTTTTCTTCTTGGTATTCGATACGAAAATATGGGGCAACCATGCAGTAACGCGCTGGAAACCCTAACACAACATATCCTGTTTTCAGAGTAACCAAATATGTAATTCAGTGTCGTTAACATATCACCTGCCAGGTTGACGGAACAGCGCAGTGTTTCATCAGAAGCCCCAGCAAGAGCAAGAGCCATTTTCTACCTGTATCATTTAGGACGCAGAGTATTTCAACGGTTCACAACAAATCGATAGGATATAAAACAATTACGAAAAGAAACAAAGGCCGACAAGAACATATTTAAGCTAGGGGCCCTCTCAATTCCCTTGTTACCTTTTGGGAAGGATACTTCTTATAACTAATAAGGATTTTCCTATCATCAATTCACGTTGCCGTTTCAACCGTTATCTCATCTATATGGCCATTGGTACAACTATTCTCATACAGCGGTGGTAAGGTAGATGTTGTGCGATAGAAGCCGAACCAGTCTGCAGGGATTATAGTGCGATAACTACGTATGCGTATCACTTATTGGAATACTATCACTAAAAGGGCGAATAGACCCTTGAATAAGACTTCAACTAGCGTTATATTATAGACAGCCTGCTAATTTGAACAAATGGCAATCGTGAATTCTACAGAAGGTTGGCTGGAGCCCCATGATACATGTCCTTATAATAACTGAACCAATGTACATTGCGTTGTCTTAAACTTGATTCAATAAATATACTTTAAATCGCTTTATTCAATCACAAGGGGGCTATAATGGGTTTTTGTCAGAACAGCATATATGTGTGTATATATATATATATATATATATATATATATATATATATATATATATATCTATATATATATATATATATATAGAGAGAGAGAGAGAGAGATTGCTAGAAACTGTCAATATACATTTTAACCCTCTAATGGATGCGGGGGACTGCAATTGCATTTACGGCAATCCGTATTCACAAGTTTCGTACGAATCTTTCGTTTTTTTTTTTCGCCTATATCGTCAACTGTAAGGATGTGTACTTTTCAATTTATAATCGGCTGAGGGTCCGGTTCTAATGGTCGCGCAGGGGAGCGGCTAGTGGGTGTCCGACATTTTTATCGAGAAGCCCTGGATGGCTACACGGCAATATGTTCATTTCAGCTCCCTTTAATACTGTATGCCTCTGAACAAATGGAATCGAATATGGTGTATGAACATTGGTATAGTAGCTTGTGAGACGAAACAACACATTTTTAAACGGGCCTCTAACGAAAGGAAATAGATACGATTTCATGATGAGATTATTTGAGAATATCGTGCAGAAAATTTTATTGCAACCAATGACGATTTTCTTTATAGCCTCTTTATTTCGTATTTAGTACTATATATTTTTTCATATCTATCAAGCATGATGGTGACAACAAACAAACTATAATAAAATCTGCAAGTTACTGAATGGGTGTATCAATTAATTCCTGGATTGCAGACGTGCAACTAACTGGTTTCACCTAGATACTCCGGTACCGGTGGTTCATGCCTGTATGGGCCACGAACGAAATCTGCCCATGTTCGACTTTAAGGGTCGTTGCGAAAAACTTGTAGCTGAATTTCCACCATTAAACTGCATTCGTTACCAAGGAGCAGCTGTTGTGGAAACCGAATGGGAATTTCGGCTGAGGTTGCATCCTTCACGATTATTATTATTATGACCTACAGCTACTGTTTTTAATGATATAATGGCTAAAATTTTTACCTCATACGCTCGGTCCTTCATCATTGCTCCTCCATTGACAAGATACAATAATTTGATGTTTTTCGCTTTATCAGAATGTTTTTGTTTCATAGGATTCCTATGGAGTTAGCTGATCTGTTTGTATGTCGCTTAGCTGGCAAGCAGATTGCCATTAGGAAAATGTATCATCGCCTCGTGGACAGCTTGGAGATGCTTGGATTCTTTTTTTTGCAGGACTGGAACTTTGAAACGACCAATTCGAAACAGCTTTTCGACGGCCTAACTGAGACAGATCAATATGTAAGTGCGAACTGGGGTATCGGTTCATCATATAGATGACACTTGAGACAAACGTTTCGTAATGAGATGGGGCTGGTTCTCAATACGCTAGGTCTTTCTATCAATCCTAGAACCCAGTTAGTCGTATATTTTTGCATACGTTTACATATTATTACTCTTACATAATCTACCTAGTTAAATATTTGTTGTGCGATACGTCCCGTATTACCGAGTAAGATTATTATCGTTATACATTGGATCTGAATCGGTAAAAGGCAGCTTCCCAGACGAAAATTAGGTTTCGTCTGAGTAGTCTCTTATGGGCCTATTTATGCCTAATCAACGAGAACGTAACTGTATTATTGTCCTGTCAGTTATTCCCGATGATGTCGACCGAAGAGTTCTGCTGGGATGAATTCTTCATGATCTATTTGTCCAGTATTAAGTACTTCGTCTTGAACGAGACTTTGAGCCAGCTGGAACCAGCGCGTCGATGGAGACGAAAGTAAGTTATCATTGTCGTCGACCGATGTGAAGTTCACTAGTTGTGAAGATCAAATGATTGCATCAATGAATAACTTTTTTTCAACGGGTATGTTATTGCTAAACAAGGTAGGTATGTTAATATATATATAGGTATGTTAATCTTAAACAAGTATAGGTATAAGGTATGTTACTCCTATTAACTAATGATTTGGCCGTTTTTGCAATACATCAGATTGTTATCTTCATTAATAATAGATCCGCGATAAGCTTTGAAGCTATCATATGATAACTATATTGTGTATATACTTTATAACGCATTACGCTGCCAGTAAAGTACTTATAAAAAAATTTTGGTACTACTCCATCTTGTCGTCTGATTTGCAGGTTGGCGATTATTCATTATGCAACATTGTTACTCAGCTATTTCGTTTTGGCAAAGGTCTTGGCGAAGACGATCGAATTTGTCGTTGAAGTCGACATTCCGTTACTGTGAAGAGTCGAACGTGTTTATGAGTTCTAGAGCAGATTTTTTAGAGACAAGTGTGGTACTTCGTCTCTGCTGTTCATCGTCAATTAGAGAACTCCATACTTCTACTTATTCATTAACGCTGAATCTGCGAAGAAAATCGATAGACAATTGCGTTCACTTGGGTACCGTTGACTTACTTTCATACTATATATAGTATATAGATAGATATTGTTAGTCTTACTGTGATCTACTGTGAGCCGCGTCGCTTTGAGTGACCGTTGCTGCTGATCGAGTTTCCTATTCGTTTTTCCTGTCTCACGACTTTGCCCCGAGCTCACTTGTACTGTCACCGACTTCAACAAAAATGTCGTAGATAAGAGAACCTTGATAACGCCAGCCATCGATTCGTGTATGATACCCGTGGCGATAGGTGGTGCTGAACAGCCGAAGCATATTGTCGTCCTATACTCTTGTGTAGTCTTTTATAAATAAAGCATACTTCTTATGGTCTGTACGGGTCATTTCTTATAAATTAGCTGTTATCCTTGTCTGCTAATATTGACCGCCTGAAATGTATACGGCGATTCGATCGTGCATTTTATCTGTTGGCTTTTCAACGATGGCCTTAAGGATGATGTAAAAAAAAGTAATCGTATCCTATAAGAATCTTCTGAATGCCGTCTAGCGGCCTCTTTGAAAGCTCCCTGCTAGCTTGCAAAACATATGGTTAATTCGTAGATATTTTTTCCCGCTCCATTTTCTACAGCATGTTGTTACAACGCTTAATGTTTCTGACAAACACATTTACGAGTATAATCTCAAGAAGTATCTGTATTTGCTATATAAATGCATTAGGTACAATTACATACGTAGTTGCTTCACTCGAAGCAATTAAAGTAGGGTAACTTTTTTTGTTTCATAAGTGAACATCCTCGTCCTCTGCGAAATATTTAACCACCAACAGTCAAATGATTGATACTATTGTCCCGCTTTCTATTGTCGTGTCCTGATCGCTTCTATATTTCATACGGTACTGACACGTACCTCTTCGACGCTGCGAGAGAAGTTTCTGTGGTGGTTTGCTTTAGGGACTAGTCTCCTCCATTATATGTTTATATTGCTGATATTATCCGATGCACACAGACAATATTAATCTATGTCGTAAAGGATAAAAAAAAATTAAGACCTGTATATTTTTTTAATCGACTCCGATAGGAAAAAATCTCTAATAGTTTCATGATTTGGGATATCCAGTCTAAAATCAGCCCAGTACATAACCGCTTGAAACCACATAGAGCAAGCATCTGTTAACATCTACCGAGCTGATCTTCTTTATGAAGATTTGTCTGCTTTTTGTAATAACTGGTAACAGAAATCTGAACCGCTGTAGAGAAGGCCTTGTACTCCTCAAGACTCTATAGGCCAATATAACTTAAGTCATAAGCAGGGTGGAACAGAAACTCGTCACAGCTCGATAAAAATTGACACATTGAAAAAAAACACATGAAATTACCTGTATTTCGCTTCTGTTTTAATGACGGAAAAGTACAATGTGGCGAATATAGAAGTAAAAAATAATTTTCCTCCTGGAAATAGCCTCTTTCAAACTGTCAAAAGACTTTTCTTCTCTATATAGATAGAGGTAAGCCAAACAATATCTCTCTGATAGAGGCATGTACTATGAAACATATGTGAAAAGCTAACGCAGTGGAAAAAATTGTTCTTAAATAGCATTTCTTTGAATTTCTATGACAGCTGTTGTTAGCAACTACTATGACGGGTGGTACGGATGACCGGTTTCCATTTATGACGTTCAGCTAGAGTAGCTTAGTCGTCTTGATCTAATTGTCACCATGCGCTTTATATAGATCCGATTGACCTCGTTCTAGAACTCGCCTATCGTTTCGTTGGCAAGCATCCTTAATCTTATCCACAGATGTCGCTAGTTATGCCGCTCTCTATTTGTTAGCCAGAGGTACTAGAAACGCTGATCGTCTTCACGAAGCGACGACACTCCGTGTGGACGAGGCTTTTCTTACGGGCCCAAAAGGGTCTGAGGCCTTACATTTTTAAAGCTTTGCGAACTCCTTCCAGGCGATCAGTTTGTTGTTGTTGTTGTTGTTGTTCAAGCAAAAAGTTATTTTTGGTAAAAAAAATCCGAGAGCGTGCATCGAAGCACAAAGTAGTACGATGAAGTTAGACTTGTTACAACTAATGGGGCTTTTCGTCCTGGTTAGCGTATTCGGAAGCAATGCTCAACTTTCTGGTACTGATCATGTAAGTACAAAACAGCATGAATCATGTTGATGTCGATTTAGTGTGATGGATGGTGCGGATTAAGTTGCATTGTGAGTAAGAAGTGGCATTAACAAGAACTACTACGTAAACATAGACATGCTTTTTTGAGATTTGTACCTTTATAGTGTTTTTTTCATCTTTGTCATTCGTTAGGACGCCCATAAGAGAAGTACTTCAGGGTAGAAAATTCATATAAATTTTATTATTTCCTGGTGCGGATTTGTAGCTAATAGTTACAAGTATACCTAACCATCTCCTTCACTGATTTGCCCTGAAGGCAAAGTGTGGAATTCTCTATGTTTCGAATTGGAAGCGAATGAACCGAGATATTGATTCATAGTAGACCAAGCGGAATTTACACACAACACGATGCCGATTGGGTGGCAGTTGGACCTATAGTTAAATACGTCTAAATATTCTAAGCGTTGATTTTACTTAAAAGATTACACTTCAACTCAATCAGAGTTAATCTTGTGCGCAAGTGCTTATAGGGCAAAGTCTGGAGGGAAAACACCTATTTGATCTATTATACGATTTTAACAATAACATTATCTCGTTATAGTTGTTTTGACTAAGGTTACAGCATAGGTGCTTAGTGAAAACCGGTGGCACAAATCCGAAAACATTTTAGCCGTATATAACCTAACCTAAAAATTAGTTAATTTTCATTTAGAAATTGTTTTTGAATGTACAGTTGTTAATGGATAAATGATTCTACTGTATATTTAATTTGCTTTCAATTCGTATATATAGAAGGTGATTGCCTGTAAAATGGATATCTCTAGTCGTGTATGGACTAGAATGGCTGTGGAAGCTCGTAAAATCGAAGATTCCATACGGGAGAAATATCTTTCCGAAAAAGCACTTTTCGGAGCCATCTACAGACAATTCAAAGGATCTGCCGATCTCCTTAATAGGTTAGCACTTGCGGTCAATTACTGTGAATTATTAAATGTATAGTCAATGCAGATGATCATTTGGGGGGGCAACACAAACGTTGCCAATGGCAAATAAGTTGAAGATATGGTTCAAGAGTGAACCCCTTAAAAGACAACAATAAGCATAGTAACAACTTTGGTCTTAGTAAAACAGAAATCATAACTTACCCTTATGTAAAGCACAACTTGTATTCATAAACCCACTGGTCAGAGCCTAACTCTAACTGAACAAGCAAAATGCACTGATCATTTTAAATTGTACAGACCGTCAAGGCCCTTCCCCTCGCCCTCTGTCAAGCGTAAAAACCTTGACGAAGGCTATATATAAGGGCTTTGATTATTTTTTTCATTTTCACTGTCAAATATTTTGGCGTTTCCTCAAAGAGGGTGTAATCATGTTTGTAAACAATCTAATTCAAAATAATGTCGCGTGCTCATCGAGATCAAAAAAATCCTTAACTTGAAAATATATCAAGCACTTAGAAAGCAGACTTAAATATGTTTATTTTACGTTAACTTTGACCAAATTAAAGTTACTTAGCTGGATTAGTACTAATCTTAGAAGCTTTTTTGCGTGAAAAAAGCATTTGTAAAACAACCCTTTCCCTAGCACCATAAGTATATCTGGGGTAGAGTACTTTTCAACACACGTGACGCCGTCGGATGGCAATTACTATGTGTTAGTCTACATAGTATGCTCACCTAGGCAATTGCTTAACATCAATTTTTAGCCTGCCCGAAATTTCAATGCTAAGTCCAGAGGCGTTATGGCAGATCAATCAGAATTGTGTGCAAGCTCCAGCCGGCCTTGACCTGTTACTGAGCAATGCCGAAATTTCTTATCCGGAATTTTATCAAAGGTTAGTAATGAAAGTAAATGGTTTAGGGCTAGCGTGCACGTACATTACAGTATACGCAAAGCGTCATCTGTAGCGAACGATTAAGCAACGTCCGATGCAAAAAATTACGCTTGAATTAATATCTGAAATGCTTTTTCTTGGACGATATAATTAAATGGTACACATGGCTTCAATAAAATAAAATAAAGAAACCATATAATTAACAGAGGATTTTTCCTAGCTATTATAATAAGAAATTACATTCCTCTATCTTCGTAGGTATCAAGCCGACTTCCGTACTCTCCGAGACATCGTGGGAAAGCTTAGGGACGACATTAAGAACTGTTCACCAAATATGGCTGGAATGAAGCTTGGCTATACGGACAATTAATCCCCAATCAGAACTACAAAAGCGTGTCATACTATACTGAACATGAGGCAAATAAAAATGGCCATGTTTCATTCGATTAAATCAATGGTAGTGTCCATAAGAGTTATAAACGTCTCGTAAATTTCAGTCTTGTATTTTATACGTTACTTAACGATATTTTTCATTTCCCTATGAATCCTGAGGTAGCTTCGAACAGCCATCAGTAAAAATCTTTCTCGAACAGGGTGTCGATTATCTCACTATGGGTATGCATGCCTCCTGGCTGTACCTCCATACTTCTTGTGATTACAGTATAGATATAAGTATCAATATTACGGTATATTAATAATCTAAACTACTTTCAGCTATTGCTTTGCTTCAGTTAAAAACGCCTTTGTTGATTAATATATAATTGTTTTACCGTTATTTATTTGCTTCAAGTAGGCCATATGACGACTGCGTCTGGCGAGCTGTTATTGCTTAACTGGCCCATCAGTATATCATCTACTACTACTACTACTACGTTCTGGCCTTAACTAGCGTGCCCACGTAATTTTTCGAAACAGTCAGTCGTCGCGCACGGGTTTAAATAATTACAGAGGTTAGCCTCATTTTAGGTTCGTTAATCGTCAGAGCAAGCAAAAGAAGAAACCCATGTTTCAACCTAAATACACAATATCGTTTTTTGCCCCGCCCGGCCCACTAATGAACAGTTCCAGCATTTGATGGCTATGTACAATGAGAGTTGTAAGAACTGGAAGGGTTGACAAATTTGGCGTAGCCACATTTGATGTAGCCTTGTTTACCAAATCGTCACGGAATGGATATGCAGGATATGAACAGATGGCACATGCTGATGCTATTATTTCGCGTGTATAAATAAAATCGTTCCCAATTCAGTTTTACATCGTTCGAATCGTTAATTTCAATAATCAAACAGCAACAACAGCGGTAGTACGCTTGATATCTGTAAACGATTTCATTTTATAGGCAGCATACGTCCTGCATGACAGGCAGTATCTGCGTGCTTTTTAGGTGAGTCTCATGCGCGATGTGAACGTTCTCTAGCTTTAGATATAGGATAGAGCTGGTTCGCTAGCTGTCATTGCTTTCATTCTCCTGACCTCCTTAAGTGCAGCCTCCCAATGGTACTACGTGTAGAATGAATCATTATCGATAACGTGGTCCAATTCGCTAAAATGATTGTTACCTTCGATGATCAATGCCAACTCGTTGTGTCTTGCAACAATTGTCGGGTTTTTCTCTTGGTTGTCTGTGTATATGGCTTGAAATACGGCTACTAATGGGATTTAGTAATTGAGCGGAACTCGAAAATCTTGATAGCGGGCTGAGTTTCGTTGCTGGTTGAGGAAACGATTATTTTCGGCCACCAGCAAGCTTTGGAGGTCCTGATAGCTTGCATGGTCTCCAATTGCGGGCGCACCGCTGTAATAATCTACGCTCGCGGAACCGAACGATGGCCCTGAACGAATGCCACGTTGATGGGGCGGTAGTTGAGACGAAAACGAGCTTATGGATGAAAAAGGTGCAAAATTCCTCTCGGGGACAAACGTCGGAGAGTCTGCAACGTGCTGGCGTATCTGAGACGTGTACCGAGTCTGATAGGAGGAAAAACGTCCTCCTGGGAGGTTAATAACCTGGGAAATCTCGTCGCTTTTTGGAAGGTCTTCGAGATGATGAGCGTTTGGCGATGATGACCCAAAAAAGCCGATGCCATCAGATGAGGTTGTAATTGGCCTAAAACCGGTAACAGCTACGGGAGCGCTGAACGTCGACGGCTCAGTTGGCGTTAGGGGAACCGGCAACGGTTGCGTGGACACGACACCTGCAGGGCTTAGTGGTTTCTTACGGCGGCGTTTAATCGTACGGCGATTTGCGTCAGAAGTAACTGAGACCGGTGCAGACGTAGTCGCTGTTGTCGTCTGGAAGTAGACGATCGATACGGGAGTCACTGTTGGACGGGGTAAAGTTGGGGCCGCTGGAGGAGGTGTTGGTTTCCTCTTGCGTTTGACGACCCTCCGGGCTTTGGATTTCGCTTCGGTTGTAGTGGCGCTGCCAATTGGTTTCAAAGGACTGCTAGTTATCAAAAGAGGCGCTATAGTGGGTGTTTCTGGAATTGGAGTAGTGGACGTGAACGTGCTAGCTAATCGAGCTGTTCCAACTCGCGTAACGACTCTGCGTGAAGAGAGGCGTGGAGAAATGCCTTTGGCAAACGCTTCTTCCCTTGATGTCAAGGGCTGCGGTAGGGTTGTAGGTGTGTCAGAGGGAAGGATTGTCCCTGTAGCGGTCGATGCCGCTTTGGATGCGGTAATGGATGAACGAGTTGTTGTGCTATGAGACAGTCGACGAATTGTTGGAGCTTTTGTGGCCTCGAAGAATGGCACGGTGGGCGTACCCGAAGGGGACACCTGAGCAGGGCTGACCGTAGAAGGCGCTTTCGTTGGCGTCACAACAACTCGGGTGCGGAACAGTGGACGAAGAGTTAACTTCGGAGCTGTTGTTGATGCTTGAGTAGTAATTGTCAATTTCTCCGATTCTTTCGTCGAAATTTTGTTGGCATTCTTTACGTCAACGGCGGGACGCCTCACGGTACCAGGGCGGCGAGTTTTTGCGGGCGAGATTTCAGCCTCCGTCCGAGGCGTGGTGGTCGATGTTCTCGTCGTTGCAGTAGGTCGCGCAGTCGGCTTTGCTCGTGGCGGAGGGTCTGGAAAATACAACAAATAAACAATAATATTACTGACTCGGACATCTTTTCTATTCTAGGGTGAGAGTCGCTTTTCAGAGGTTTTCATAATCTACATAATCGAAGTCGTCGCTAGAAAGCAAGGCATCATAAAACACAGTTTAAAAAGGTTGTTATCTAGAGGCAGACAACATTGTAAAAAAAGCGAAGCTATTTGTGATGGAGTTTAATACACGTCTTTCAATCGACCCATTCGGATTGCATTTCATCGCATCATACTTAGCCGTCGATTGAGTCCTATAGGCCTCTCTGTTTCGAGTGGCTGGGGCTTTATCTCCTTGACTGTTGTAAGTTCCTTGATCTCTTCGTCATTATCGGCCGATCTGGGAGCTTCGGTGGTCTCTTCCTCTTTGGGAACAGTGGATATTGTTACCTTATCGTCTTTTACTTGATATCCCTCGTTCTTCACTTTACGATTCCTGATCTTGATCACCTTCCTTCTCGGGCGAACCGTACTTCTAGCTAAAGGCACCTGCATCGTAGCGTTTTCAGCCTGCGAGTGTATAACTGGAGCCGTCTGTTTCTTTGCCACTTCGCTGTCGCTCGTTACTACTGTGCTTACAACGTTCACAACCGGATTGGGCGCATCGCTGGTAAAACGATGATTTCTGTAGATGAAAACCGGGTTAAAGCTGACCGGATTTGTGCTGGCCGATTGGGCTGCGGCGCTGGATTCGCTTGTACCAATTGACGATGACGAACCGACAGTTTCCGTCTGCTCCTGGCCATCCTCAATGACCGTTACGGTTTTTGTCGTTTGCGTAACAATATGGCTGAAGAACGCAGGTGTGGTCAATTCCGTCTGGCCGCTGCCAGGCAGTGGCGATGGTGTTGTGCTCTGGATGAACAGGATTCGGAACGGAGGGTCGGTGCCGCTCTCGACAGACTGTGAGGTCCCGCCAGGGAATGAAGTGATAAATGTTGATGGCTTGCGGGTGGTTGTCGTCGTTGTTGTCGTACTTGTTGTCGTAGTCGTGCTTGATGTAGTTCGCTGAGTAGTAAAGCGAGCTAAAATCTCAGCCTTCGTTAATTTCTGCTTGGTAGGCTCGGGCACATAATTATTGGTGATCGGACGGTGATATTTGTCCAAGACGGTGATGAGATTTGCCGGGACTAGATCGGTTAGTGCGCGCTGATATTTAGGCCTACCTTCGGGCTGATCTGGAGTTGTCTGGGCTTCTACGCCAGTTAATACTAGAAGGGTAGAACAAAGAATAAAGGCCCGTAGAGGAAGCGAGGTTGGCGGAAAATGCCTCATCGTGTCTGCTTCTTGCCGGACCGGAGTCCGTGGTAGTGGCCAACTGGCTTCGATGGGTGCGTATACTTAGACCGTACGGGATGTCATGCCTGGAAAAATATAGTGAAACAGTAAGAGTGAATTCGTTTGCTTAAAGTGGGTTAAATAGCTGGGTCAAGGACACAACAGGTGTACTCTATCTGATGAATATTTGCTTTAGGAAAACGTTTAAAGTTCATTTTCTAATTATTTTGTGTATATTTTGGTGTCGTTCTAAATACTACTACGGAAGTATTGAAATCTGGACTAATGCGTTGACTAATGCACGCAAGAGGGGTGGAGACGCGGCTACCAACCGTCACATCTATCTAGCATAAATTACCTGAGACATTGAGGATCTGCTCAAACTAATCAACTAAACAAACAGACACACATAGTTAAACCATATTTTTTTTCAAGTATGGCAAGAAGTCTAGAATAGAAAATATCTGGACATGTGAATCTGTGCTAATCCACACGTTAGCGGGATTACACGATCGGTCAGATCTCCCGAAAACAACAGTTTACGTCTAGACGCAGTGACGAATGCTTTATAGAAGTTTACCGTCGATCTGCTCAATATCGTTCAGCACGGTGTTATAGAAAAATAGACCCCCTTTGGTCCATACGTCTGCGTAGTGTGAGATGGCATCGCCGATTATAGAAATAGCTATTTGCTAACAGACAATTTTACCTAGTGGCATAAAAATAGGCATTTATAGAAAACAATACTCGTTGATAATAATCGTTAGTATATATGAGCAAAGGGCAGCAGTGACCGATATAATTAATCAGCAAAACAAAACGCTGCCAGGTGCTAAGTTGACAAAATGGTATACTATATAGTAAATCGATACCCGTAATTGTACGAGAATATGGTAATTGTTACCACTAGTACAAAGCTGCAGATGATGCCATTTCATTTGGTATTGCAGGGTCGCAGTGGTCGGGCGCGGCGACCTAAGCGTAGGCATCCATCAATTGAAAATCGTCTATTTTGTGTCACTGCTCCGAATGAAAACGTTTTAATTTTCATTCAATTGGTCGTAAACTGTATGAATTTCAGAATCGTAATATTTTTTTTGGCGTCCTCAACCGCAAGGGCCGCGTTTCGTTGATGCCGTTTCATATAATTACGCAAGACTTACATACGAAACCCACACACATTTTATGGATGAGCGTTCTGAGAAAACTCAAAGGAATTTTAAGAAAAATATATGTATGATATTTCTTGTGTACCAAACGTATGTTTAGGTTCTTAGCTCTAACAAAATGTTGCTTTGTCCTGACAACCAGTCCGGCTAGTTCCTTGAAAAAATCCTGTGATTATTATTATTAGACAACAAAACCTGTTGCCCATGGCCACGGCGTCGCACGCATTTTCTAGAAGCAAGGTAATAATGTAGGTTTTAATTTTAACTAAGATGAATACGCTTGCCATTTGTAAAGTTGCGTATAAAGATTGCCAATCACCGTATCCGTTTATTCTTTTCGTTTTACGCTTAGGGCCGAGGTATGATGAGTCAACTAGAGCAAAGAAACGACGTTTGATATCAAGGCCTTTATACAGTACGCTGCCTACATATGATTGTGTAAACGATGTTTTAAATTTCAGACCTAAAAGAGGCTCGTCTAAATAAGCTGGCCCAACTAATGGGCCCAGAACACAGTCGTTTCACTATGATGGCAAGATACCACGAACAAGATATACCCGACCCTATCCTACGTAGTGCGGAAGATGAACTCGCTATCATTTGCAGACGACTCAATAATAAACCTACCAAGGTAAAAGGTAACTAATGACACACAATTTTTTTTCCAATTCAGAATATAGCGCATTAAATGTTGTATGTTTCCAAAAATCGATACTTTCTACTGCATAGCTAGATTTTACGATGGGACTAAACGGCGGTATAATAGACGAGAATAGCGTTAGCAACGATAATGGCACACCTATAGACACATCTTTGCCATTGCTCGATTTCACTCTCGCTTCTACTTAAAATCTAAGCACATATACAACACGTGCACGTAAATCAATAGCGATCGTACGTGCAATCAAACGTAAGTGGACTCACGCTTCGATAAAATACACGTATGGGACACAATAGGCACAGTGATCTGAGAATAAGGACAAGTTCCATTGTAGCAAGCAGGCGTCGAATACAAAGCCGAGCCAAACACATTCAGGCATTACAAAACTACTCATATATTGCAGTAGGGCTGACCGGGAGTCATCTCCCTGGCGAGGCCAAGCAGAGCTAGACAGAACTGTCGCACGAAAACAACGCTAACGGCCCCCCATCGTCGCTGTTCCCTCCAGTATCCTTTCTCTGTCTTGGCGTAAATCGACAAAATGCATCAATCATATAGCAATTTTCACGCGTGCCAGGTAACAAAATACGCCTTGTTGGCCTCATCGTTCATTCTTTCGTTGATTGCACACATATATATATATAGTCTTGAAGAAAAGAAAATACTAATAGAAGTTAGAACCGGCGCACCAATCTATAGAAACGCTTGAAGGGGAGTAGCGGTAGGATGGTTAGGAAAGGAGTTGCGTTGTGAAAAAACAAGTAGCTGATAATAACAATATTTTTTCTTAGGGGGGAGGGGAAAAGAAGGATTAAGGAAGCAAGAGACGTGTCCAGATGTATAATAATATGGACGCCGGGGACGGTAGACGACAGGAAAGCGATCAAAGGCCGATTCATAAACTGACTGCTTGTATTGGTAGCCAACTCACTAGTCACTCGCTGGGAGTGGCAATAATTGGAAAACATCTACGCACCATAAAATAACAGACTGTGAAGGGGGGGGGGGGGGGAGGATGAAATGATGTTTTGAAATGGCGATAGCCAAATAACTGAAGAAGTACAACTTATCGGCGGCACGCAGTAGGCAAACGAGGTATCGTTGTTATTGGTGTTAAATCAGGGCCGAGGTATCATCAACGTACGCCATTTCGAATCGCATTTTCAGTTACCGTAAGTTATGTACGACGATTCCTTTTCTACTTAGTCCATTTCTTGTTTAGAAGAAAATCGAAAAGGAAAAATGACAGGAGTCCGCATCGATCTTCTAAATCGGCCTAGTGGAAGACGTGAACGGGAAGATTAACAATAGCCACTGAACTAAAAACGACTCGGTCGAAAATAGCGAGCGTCTTGCGTCGCAATTAACATCTACATATGAATAGATGCGTATGTCTCGACGAATCTTTGTACAACTGTGCCACCTAGACACTGACTTTTATGTCTTATTCCATATTTCTATAATTTATACTATTTTTACCTCGTGTAATGTTTCTGCTCAAAGAAAAATGGTGTTGATAACTATACATTTAAATAGTAACGATAAAGTAGATAAATTTCGCTTGCAGGACGTTTTCACTACAATCGAATACTAGCTAGCTAGCTAGCTAGAATGAACAGAAAGCTAGCCATCTTATTTAGGTATGGTAGGGAGGTAATTTCCATATGCAAATGATATACAACTCACTAGAGTTTGCACACTTGACCCAAAAATATTCCCTTCTCAATGGGTGCACTAAGTATCATTGTAACTAAGTAACATAACAGTTAGAATATTTCACGATAAGTTAAAAATAGTCTCCATCATCTAGCAGTTCCTATACATTTAGCACAACCAAGTCGTCCATCGAAGTTCTGAATCAAAGGGTCATCTGTTCAATCTCTTATCTGCAATTTACTTCGAGTAAATTTTACGTAGCAACAAAGGTTAAGCCCAATATGTTAGATTACAAGTGGAAGTGCAGCAATCGCCCAGTGTATGTGTACAATATGTACACTGCACATACGTACAATGTTGCTATCTGTACACTACGAAAGCCGTTTGTTTCGCCTTCCGATGTACAACAAGCGGTCAGTGTTCTCTATAGAAGTTAACCTTTCAACAACAGAAACGTATGCTTTCTGCAAACAAAACACTTTAGGACTCAGCGTCCATAAAGCAGTAGCAGGTATTGGCTCAAACTCGGTCACAGCAGTATTGTGCCCCATTGTATTATTGTGATTTGTACCATAGTCGTATTGTAGGTCCATGGTGGCAACGATGACGATGTAATAAAATCGCATAGAAGCGCAATGTAGAAGCAGCTAGATATCAAATGCCCCTATTTTGCCGCCCACCGCTTAGAGTCTCGTCGCGTATTTCCAAAGCCCCGCCACCACAGCAGCCATTATAGAAACCCTTACATAACTGCCAACGCACTATTCTTTGCACCTATGAGCATTTATAATTGTGTTAGGACTAATATTAAACACAATAGACTTAATGGTTAACTTTTTGCTGCCCTTGTAGCTGCTTAGGAGCGTTTCCTTACGCTGCCATAGATAGAAACGAGATATAGAATATGAAAAATAGAAAATCCTTTAACTGTATTCTAGTTCTGCTTCATCCTCGTCCTGGCTACTATATGTAGAAACAGTGATTCGGTCGTTTGTCAGCCACTATGGTGACCTCCAATGATGATCAGTGAAGGTTTCAACTAAGTAAGACGTATGGAAGCCAAGTGATGCGAGACACCCGATAATAGTTGAATTTACTATAAAGTTGACGCTTGTCGTAAAGTATGCGATTTTGGTGTTGAATGGATGAATGTTATAATGTATTGGTATGATTCATATCAACAACCAGGTATGTTGCATTCAATTGGCACTACTACAAAGGTTGCCATTAACCTTCTTGTTGTCACTTGTCGAAACTATAGGCAGTCTACATAGAGGTACAAATTTAAGCTGTTGTATTATTTACACATGTGTTTCAAAGATCCAAAAAACGAACATGGTGACGAATCAATTCTACAACTAAGGCTCACATGTAAAACCGTATTCTTGGCGTCTGAGTGGACTGCGCATAGGAACATCGTAACCGAAGTGGGATGGAACGGTTGTCCGCTTGACGCAATTAAGTAGCATTTTAAAGACTCCAAGGGAACGTTCAATGAAGTTTTGGCGACGAAACTACTTTAGGTAATAAAATTCTATAAGCAAGATATTCCACTATGACGAACGTCAAGGTATGAGCGTCGAAGCTTCGACGCCCACGA